AAGAGAAAATATTTGTCAAAGAGCCAAAAAGGGAAAAGATCTTGTAATATCAAACAATATGACAAATGGGTAATTCATGAGAATGTACCATGAAGATATACTTGGTTCCCCCTGTCTTCTTAATACATAGATTCTTTGCTTCCTTATCCAGAATTCCAACTCAGCTTTACAGTTTATATGTGGTGCTCTTTTTAACTCATTTTTACACATTTTGTTTTTGGTAATGGTAATGTCTGGACCAATTTATATTTTTGTTTATTATGTAATCGGTTATTTATTACTTTCCACCGGTATATGTATCGGGTTTTTATGTATATTAAAACCTAGGCATAGAGGCGTATGTAGCCTTTCGGCTACACATTCAAATGAACTCATAACTTTCGATATAGAATATGAATTATATGTAAAAATCTACCAAAATTTCTAATAAGTATTAGATTTGAACCCATGATATATATGTTGACAGTTGAGTGCAATGCTAAAAATCTTACAAAATGAACCCTTAAATTTAAATCTTGGATTTGGCGTTGCCTAGTCATGATTTTCTATTATCTTCCCTACAAGTATTATATACTTGATAACATCCATTAAGGTCGTCCATCTAACCATTTAAATTAAAGATAGCCGGTGGAGGTATAATATATAGTACATACATAATTTATATATTATTCGTATAATCTATATATATGGCTAGAAAAAGTAAACAATGAATATGACTGACTATTTGGGTAAAGATCTCTATCTTTTATGCACAATATGTACTGAATGACTTCGTTCACTAAAGTTTGAACAAATAAGAAAAACTTGCCTAGTAGTTTTTTTTCCTCTATTGAATTTGCACCATAATTTTCACTAATTTCATTGACCATTAGACTAACTACACCCCTGAGTGCTCCTCTGGAATTTAGTTATTGAGTCACTAAAGTGTCAATATTTTTGCACTCATTTCTGCGAACTTATTTCATAAATGATCATTACTCCAAAAACTTAATTGATTTTATGACCTAATTAATTTCCAAGCATTATAATGATTTGGTCGCAAGAATATTGTGTTGGGTGATTTGGAGCACTCCGAGAGCTATTATAATTTTAGGTATTGTAGGCGTTTTAATATCGAGGAGGTCGCGGGGGTTATGCGCATAAGCTGAGCAGGGACAGGGTGATCGGGCCGGATAAGATCCCGAATGAATTTTGGAAGTATTCGGGTAGGGCTGGCTTGGAGTGGCTGACTGGGCTATTTAATATCATTTTTAGGACGAAGAAGATACCCGAAGAGTAGAGATGGAGTACGATGATTCCAATTGTATAAGAACAAAGGTGATATTCAAAACTATAACAACTATAGGGATATCAAGTTGGGAGAGGGTGGTGGAAGCGAGGGTAAGGAGGATTGTATCTATATCGGAGAATTAGTTCTATTTCATGCCGGGATTCGACTACGGAAGTCATCCATCTTGTTAGGAGGTTGGTAGAAGAGTACAGGGGTAGGAAGAAGAATTTTCATATGGTGTATATTGACCTAGAGAAAGCATAGGACAAGATCCCTAAGGAGGTCCTTTGTAGATGTTTGGAGGCTAAGGGATCATTTGGTATGAGGGATAAGGTGGGATAAAGTGCAGTACTAAATTTATATCATGTTTGGTTGATGGTATAAATTTATCCCGGGACAAATTTATACCATCAACCAAACATGGTATAAACTTAGTCCCATACTTAATCCTGGGTATCCCATCTTAGCCCACTTTATCTCATTAAATTTGGTATTATTTTATCTACCTCCTACCTTCCAAGTAGAATAAATTAGTCTAGAAATTATAATTTTAGGATTATAATATCGGGATAATTTAATCTGCATACCAAACGACCACTAAAAATATTCTTATAGCATACCCTAAGATGATTAAGGACATCTTGTTGTTTTATGATGATGAGGTCGACATGTTAAGGATAAAAAGGAGAAGAAAAAATCAACATTTTATAACATTTTATACCCTTTAAAACATAGTTCGTGTCACAAAAGAGGCTATCTTGATATTAATTAATATTTATGTCATTAGTATAGCTGTCTAATACCACCAAAAGTGGTGACCTAGCTAATTTTGCATATATAGCCACAGGAAAAATCCCTTAGTTATAATGATATATCTTAGCTCTAATTATAGCTTTAATCACTTTTGTCTTTCAAATCTCTATGCAAATCCCTGCTGATGGCAACCACAAAGATTGTGAAATCATTAACATCAGACAAAATTGTTTTATTTCTAGAAGAGAAAAAATAATATACACGAATGCAATTATGTGGCTAATTAATCAATGATCATGCTATACATAGGTTATAACATGTGCAAATTTAGCCAAAATTATTTTGTTCTTTTGTCTCCGTTTGCACGCATGCTTGGCTTGGGATCATAATTATCTTGGATTAAAGAGGTCAATTATTTTTGCTTTATCAAGGTAATCTCATTATTAAGATTTCAATAATACAAGAGAACTATTAAAGCAATGAGTAAGTTTTATATATTTGTAAGATAATTACAAGTATTCCGTCATAAATATTAATTAGCAATCTAGTAAAACTGTAACTCTCTCTGGTTCATTTTAATTGATTTTTTGGTTGTTTTTGCATATATTAAGGACTTCACCTTTTAACATTAATTAATAATAAAATTAACTATATTAACCTTTACTATCTCTTTAATTTGTTCATTAAAAATATAACGGATACTCTGTGACTCTTTACTCAAATGCAACTTTGAAAAAAAGAAGTTAATTCCTTCTTGATATCTAAAAAAATCAAATATTGTTAACCACAGAAAAAAGACGAAAAAATCAATTAAATTGGATCGGAGGGAGTAATTGACATGCTATTACACATTAAACTACATTTAATGAATTTTCTATCATTTTTGTATATAACCTAAATCCTTGAAAGTAATATACTCAATTACTCTAGTAGTTTTGCATATATACCCGCTTTTTGGGTCACATTTTAACTTGTGCCCACTTTGGAAAAAAATTGCAAGCGTACTCGCTTTTTCGCGTAACTTCAGCATACAGGGCTGAAGTAGCAAAGGCAATCACGCAAAACTTCAGCAGTCTAGTAGACGGTGAAGTAGCAAGTGTGTTGAACCAAGTGTGCTGAAGTTTTTGTTTGTAATTGCTAATCTTAAGCATAGTAGCTGAAGTTTTGTTCTCTATTTGCTGAATCTTTGTTCTCTATTTACTAAAGTTTTTGTTTGTAATTGCACTAAATAAACTGAAGTTTTTTGTCCTGGATTCATTAGTTTTGTCATTAAGCTTTTTCAAAAACTTCAGCAGAAGATGCTGAAGTTATTTAGTTCATTTATAAAAACTTCAGCACTAAATAAGCTGAAGTTTTTTTGTCCTGGATAAGCTTTTTCAAAAACTTCGGTAGAGATGTTGAAGTTATTTAGTTCATTTGTAAAAACTTCAGCTTATTTAGTGTTGAAGTTTTTATAAAAAGTGAAAGTTTTAAGACAACGCTGTCAAATTCTCAAGCCATTGCTGCGGAAAAGTTTGCAACCTTTCCTTGCTGAGCAACAGTTGACACATGTTTTAGTAATCCTTTGTCCAGTAAATGGGCAAACCATATAAGCTACATCTGGATAGCCAATTACTGTGAATTAAGACTTTACCAGACAAAAGGAGAATAGCAAGAAAAGCAACAGTGAATAGCCAATTACTGTATCTATGAATATCTGTATTACTGTATATTCATAGCAGCACCAACAGCAGCAGAAGAAAGAAGAAGAAGAAGAAGAAGAAGAAGAAGAAGAAGAAGAAGAAGAAGAAGAAGAAGACGAAAGAGGAGAAAGGGGCTGAAGTTGTTTAAAAAGTAGGTACAAGTTAAAACTTTAAAAAAAATGGATATAGGTTAAATGGGGTGACCAAATAAGTCACCCCGTGCAATTTTTACATTGTTTTCTTGTGGTGGGTTTAGGAATTGGGTGCAACTCTTACTAAGAAGTAAGAATGTGCTACTTTCTAGGGACAAAGATGGCTTTTATGAAACATGTTGCTGTAGTATATTTGAAGTTTGGGCAATCTAAAAGGCAGATCCACATTTTGGAAAGGGAGGAAAGTTTAATTAAGTATGTGAAACATAAAATAGGTGGGGCTAAGCCTAAAAAAAAGATAAGAAAAAGAGTGCATAAACTTTATTGACTTAGCAATAAAGGCCATTAGCTTGGCTGTACTCTGGAATGTTAAAATATGAATCTTAATTGTCTATATTAGTATAAGCAAATTTAGAATTGAAACTTAATTGAATTCAACTTTTAAGATTCTTAAGACTAAAGGCATTGCCCTGGAGATTATGGGTTCAAAAGTTAATATTTCTTAGACGTTTGATAGTTATTCACATGGAAATGTGTAAGTCATGCCTAATCCTCTCTTTTCTCAAATAGAGAGCAAGAACTTGTTGTTGGGATCGAAATAACATGGTGCATGTGAAAGCTAACAATACAAAGTTTAGCAGGCAATAAATCAGATAAGAAAGAAAATATACTAAAATACGTATTATATAAGAAATCAGATAAGAAATCAGATAAAATACGTATTATATTAATACGTATTATATAATATAGTTTGATCAAGTAACCAACATAAGATCTATCACTAATTAATACAAAAAGAGAAAATAAATTTTTATGAGAGAATAATCTCCCCTAAACATGATTCCCGTAAAGACTACATTGTGGAGGTTGTTTTTGTTTGAGAAGGAACCCGCAATTAATAGAAGTGCAAAATTTCTCTTCCAAGAAAATGATAAGGCATATAAAAGAGATTTTATACTTTTAGGAGTCTTGTAAAACCCTAACAGTTGTTTCAAAATACAATTTTGATTGAGATTTATTTTCTTCAGCAAAATTACATACTACAGTTCTGTGACCAGAGGGGCTTCTTTCACTTCATTTTCTATGAAGAGCAATTCATCCTTGGAGAAAGAAGTTAGTATCTAAACTATCAGTGAACTGTGATAAATACCAATTCAGAGAAACCATTGCCATAAGAACTAGTTCAATATCATTCATCATACAGGATCCATAAACAATATATAAGAATTGCAGCAACTGTACAAGCAGAGATACTGCATATAAAACCACATCTAACTGCAAAATGCATCTTGCTTTTTATTAGCTGTTGGAGGGAGAAAAAAAAAAGAGGGCGAATGGTAGCCGCCTCTATAGAGCTGATACATATTCTCGCCCCAAATTTTGACCATCACAGTTCTACGAGCATTCGTTCAGGAAAAACCCTGCTGCAAACAGGATTATGTCAAATCCCAAGTTTACACAGCTGGAACCTTTTTCCCATCTTCTATGAAGAATACTGCAGATGCTGGAACCTGAGAACCGCAAAGTGAAAAAGCTTCAGCTGGCATTTTATGAAATAGGGCAATTGAAAAAAAATTCAATTAATTTCTAATTTCTAATTTTGATAAATTAAAGCTGAAAATTTCCTCTTTTTACGTTAGTGCTAGTCTTCAGCATTGGTCCCAATTTTGTCTGATCATAAATAGTAGCGACCAAGATGCTTTTACAAACTTCTTTAGCTGAATGAAACTCCTATGTGCATACCACAGAGGTGCATGTATTTGATTCATTTGATTAGTGAAGTACTTCTATGATCAAAGGAATACATACTAATGTAAACTTAGTTTCTTCTTATTAGTCAGAAAAAACAAGACGACATTTATTATCTTAGAGGTCGACATTTATAATTGTGGTAGATAATGCAGCGCAACAGCAGTCATAAGTTTCTGTTGGACAGGTAAAGTACCAGCCTGAGACGCATATAAAGACAATAATCAGAAGGTAAAAAACATACATCTCGCCAGGTTTCTGTAATAAAGTCCACAATGTCATATGATATGTCCCCTTGAACATCAATCTGCTCCTTTTCAGTTGGGCCCTGAAGCATCAATCCACGTAAGGTATACATCTAACTCATATTGGAGAATATTAGAAATCACAACTTCAACATACCTTAACCACAGAAGCTCCAGTAGCAAACTTTTTACCAAGCTTTTTTGAAGCATCACTTAGTTTAACACCTAAAATTGTCCAAAATAAAGCCAAGCTAAATGCTTTAGCAACTTGGAAGACGGAAAAAGATTGAAAGAAAGACGAGCAAGATGATACATATTGAACTACAGATATTGCTCACCAAAGAGATCGAGGCCCTTGATGGTAGTGATACTTTTCCGTCTGTTTCTTGTGACCTTTTCGATAACAATCTCCTGCCTCTCCTACAAAATAACCAAGCAAGTTTATCTACTTATAGATTTTGCTTACAAGTCCCATTATCACAGCATGATCTTTTGAGATCATGACACCACAGCTGAACCAATGAATAAAACTCCATATTGCCTGAAAATGAGAGATCAGACATTTCATAGGAAGTTTCTCAAATATAGTGAGGACTAAGTTTAGCATTAGGCAAGGTGATAGTTTCAGTTGTCATTGCTAGGCCGGATCTCCTGACGGAGAGAGGGAAAGAGAAGAAGAATGCACCAGATTTGTATAATAGCTAATAACATAAAGGAACAATTGGTAGTTGAAATGTGCTAGTAGACATGCCTCACTTGCTGTTTTGCCATGCCAGAATGGAAACTAGTTCCTGCTAAATGACCTGGGAGTTTCATGCTCACTTTTAACCCAATAAGATGGAGTCATTTCAACTAAATTCACTAGAGAACTTTCCAAATACATTTAAGTGAGTTTCCCTAGTTGTTCTAAAGTGTCTGACATAGAACTTTCTTTGAAGAACCATTTTATAGAGTTCCTCCAAATAGACATCCTATGAAGGATGATCATTCTCAAGGTCCTGGACCATTTGCTTTTTTTTTTCCACAATAAGAAACCTTTATTTCCTCCACAGCCTCACATAGTCAGAGAAAGCAATTTTCTTTGCAATATCTATATTGTGTCCACAAACCTGAAACCAGATATGAACTGCAAGCATCTTAACAGAAAGGGTTGCAGAAAACAGGCCATACGACAACCTCCCAGATTCGTCTAGGTCAGATTTAATTACATTGGTCCAAAGGAGCAAACCCGTGATTTGCAGAACAAAGGAGATTAAAAGAGTTAGTCTAATTATTTCAATCATTTCACATCAGGCATTTGAGATTCATCGATGCAATAAGATACTAAACATAGGACCTTCAACTGAAATTGATTAATGCAACAATGTAAAATTCCCAAAGACAAAAGACATTGCAAGTTAGAAGTTAGGACCAATCCAATGATTTTTTCCCCTGGTTGGTAAAATTACCTTCTTCTGTCTTTTTGAGATGGCTAGCTGGTAAAATTAATGGATTACGCTCTTTTTATTTTTGTAGTTTCTGTTTACTGCCTCTTTTGCCAAGGAGAAACTACTAAGCAAGCTTGCATATTCGTATTGCAGGGAAAACCCTTTCCGAAACATTACAGCTTCGAGTAAGTTCAACTAGGTGAAATACTCCTTTTGTCCCATTTTATGTAAGGTGTTTGACTGGGCATGGAGTTTAAGAAATTAAAGGAGACTTTTGACATGTAAGCTAAAAATAGGCAAAGTGCCAGCTTTCTCAAAGAGAGAAAAAAAAAAAAAAAAAAAAAAGAGTGATGGTGAGAGTTCCACGTGTCTTTTCATTTGTTCTGTCCTTGTAAAGATGAAGTTCTATATCAAGATAGCCCTAACAAGTCATGGCATCAAGGGTAAAATGGGGATGTTAAGATTAAATAGTTTCAAAAAGAAAAATGATAGTTAAATAGAAAATTCTGTCACACAAAATGGGTTAGAGTCAGTAACATCCATCCAAATTTGAAAATAGAGGATTAAAGCAAGCTTTGCAACTAAATAGCGCAATGAGAAAAGGTGAAATTTAGTTAGACTGGTCCAATATCATTATATGTTGCTCAAACTCAGTGTTATAAATAGCGCTCGCCTCAGCGCTAATAGCGTGAGGCGAGGCGAGGCGAGGCGAGCAGCCTGCACTATTTTGCCTCTGTTGCGTTGCGATTGTAAAAGGCGAGCGCCTCTGCTTGTGTAGCGAGAGGTGCTGTGTAGTGAGAGGCGAGTTGTGGCGCCGCTTTTTGAAAAAAAGAACGAAAAAGGCGCAGATTAGGGCTTAAAACACTAGGGCTTGCAGTGACTTCACGTTTCTTTCTTCTTCAACCTTCAAACAACAGAGCACCCAAGTCCACCCAGCCCAGGTAAGCTTCTCTTCTTCTTTCTCCTCTCTTTCTTTCTTCTTTTTCCTTCTTCTTCTCTTCTTCTTTCTATTTTTTTTCCCTGTTTTTTGCCGAGTAACAGTGCAGAACAGAGAGTCTGTCTGTTGCTCTGTTTTTTTTTTTTTCGTTTTTCTTTTCTTCTGATCTTCTCTTTATCTTTCTATTTTTTGCTCTGTTTGTTGTCGAGCAATAGTGCAGCAAAAAAGGACAGAGAGTTTTTATTCTCTGTTTTTTTTTTCTTTCTTCTTCTGGTCTTCTCTTCTTCTTCTTTTTTTGTTGCTCTGTTTTTTATTGAGCAGCAGTACTGCACCCTTTTTTTGGAGAGGCAGAGGCAGAGATCTTCAAACCTGAAATTTCCTCCTTTTTCAGTTATAGAGTAGAATTAATTGCATATTGTGAATTGATATATTTATTAATATATCATTGTTATTGAGTTTTTAGTTATATATATAACATTTTATTTTTTTGTGTATAAATTGTCGCTTCACATCAAAAAGGCGAGCGCTTCGCTGCGCGCCTCTCGCCTCAGTGAAGCGGGCCCTCGTCGCTATTTGTCGCCGCACGCTATCCAAAACACTGCTCAAACTAAAACCTAAAGAGGTTAGCTTACATGGAGCAACAATGAAAAGTTTTACGGGCACAGGAACTCAAAGGATTACAAGAGCATCACTGAACTGAATTTGCTCCGTGCTTATAATATCACATGGATGGCATAGAGCCATACCATTTTTGAAGAGGGATTAATATATATTAGACAAAAAGAAAAATGGTTGGAACTTCTTACTTTCTTTTTTATCTTTCCACCAGGAAGACGCTTGACTTCTTCTTGCTTGGATGTTGAAGAGCCTGACCCAACAAAGGAATAAAAAGGTTAAGAACAGAATTCAATTTGAACATGCAAACTGGAAACAAGATAAAATGAAATCCAAAAAACTTAGAGCTCTTCGTTCAAAATTTTATCTACAACTATTAGCCCCGCATGGAAGGGAGGACGGTTTAAAATATCAAATCCAGCAGACATATCACATTATACCAGAATTTATTCTTCCAAGAACACAAAAACCCAGAAAAGCAGATGGAAAGGGGAAGGCTAAGAAGGTTAAAAACAGGATTGTATTTCTGAGGAATTAGATAAATGGATTTCAAAATCAAAACCAGAGTTCTTTAACACTTGGCCATCGAAGAAATCAAAGAAATGAAATGAAAAGTTGAGACGAGAAAAAAGAATTCAACATCTTTTTTATATTGTGTCGTTATTATTCCTTTAGCAAATTAGCACAAATGAGCTACGCACTATGGTGATCTTCAATCTTCACTTCATTGAGGTGGTTCGGGAGGAGTGCTCTCATTTGATAGAGAGCTCAGACAAAAGTGCTCCTCTCTCACCATTCATGGCCATTAAGGTAATGCAATGCCTTAGAAAAGCGTAGCAAGAAGAAATTGAAAGGGGTTGGTGAAGTGACCTCCATGTAGCAACATAAGGAGTACAACCCACTCACATTTGTCTTTTCTACGACACCCTCACTTTGCCAATGTTGGCAGAGCATAACTAGTCCAAGTCCAGGTAATGAAGGACGGTGAATGTAGATTGACGGCTGTTATTAAAATAGAAATCAAATTACGATGAATCTCATATTGATGAATTTGTTGGGACGTGTTCATCTAGGAAGACACTATTTGACATTTGAGTTTTAGTGTTAAATTAGTAAATGGTTCCACCACATTGCTGCCTGGGTATGAGGAGTATAAACAAGGATTCTCGCATAATGGATAAGTGTGGATAAAGAAGTTAGACTCACCACATCAGCGCCCGAATGTGGTACTAGACAGTACAAGATTCCCATCCAAAAGATATTAGATAGGTATTTCGTACATAGTGTTGTTGACAAGAAAGTCAAACAGTATCAATGGATTCGTTAAAGAGATGGAAAGACCTCAGGTGAAAGATTTCCGTGTTTATAACAAGGCTCTATTAGGAAAGTAGCAGTGGAGATTTGGGATAGAAGAGCACATACTAATATACAATGGAGAAAGGTGACAGTGTACAAATACATAACAATAGGCGGGGGTTAGAGGACTAAAGGGATCATTGTCCTTTTATGGTGTGGCATTCGGAGGAACATTATGAAAGGATGGGAAGAGCTTAATGGACGCATTACATTCAAGGTATGGAATGGGAGCAGGAGAAGCTATTGGAGGCACATGGTATAGAGATAACACTTTGAGGCTCGCATTTCCAAACATCTACAGATTCTCATGCAAAAAAGAGATGATAGTCCAACAGGTACGAAGGCTACAAAGGGTAGTGCTCTTTGGGACCTAAGGTTTAGGAGGAACCTTCAAGACAGGGAGGTAGCAGACCTCCAAAGCCTGATTGAAATGCATTATAAACATAATACATCGCTTGAGAACCAAGATTTATGGAGGTAGGGATGGAAGCAGTGGCATGTTCGTAGTAATCCTACTACAGTTCCAATAAGCTTTTAATCCAGGAGGACTTTGGTTTGTTGAGTCCTACATCAGCCACTAAGGGATGGGAAGGCTTCTTTATATGATCTGGAACAATCTTTACCTCATGAGCTAGCTTTTGGGTTTGAGGTAGGACCAAGATCATCTATTATGGTATTAGAGCCAGGCTCATGCCAATTCGTTTAACGATGTTGGGCCCCCTATCTTATATTGTTCACACTCTAGATGTCCAGTCTTGGGCAAGCAGGGGTTGTCGAGTCTCACATACGCCATTAAGGGATGGAAAGGCCTTTTTATATGATCTTGGGAAATCCTCACCTCATGAGCTACCTTTTGGGATTGAGTTAAGCCCATTGTCCATTTATCATGATTCCCCCTCACCTATCGGTATGGATACTGAGGGTACCAAGAGCTGTGTGCTTTTCTTGGTAGGCAACAAGGAGAGTGATTATGATAGCTAAAAGCTTGAGGAATAGAAGGATCGCATTTGTTAGCTAATGCTAAACGTGCAAAAACTCAACCTATGGCGTGGCTCATCCCCTTTTGTACTTCCAACTAGTTATACATCTGCGGTAGGAGGTTTTGAGATGGTTCAGCACGAAATAGACAACACCAAGCACGGTGAAGGAGGCTCTATTCGGTTGTGTTTACAGAAGAGAAGACATATGACATGGGATGTTGCCCATTTGTGCCCTGGTTATATAGAAAGAGAGAAACGTGAGAGCTTTTGATGGGATACGAATGACTTTAAACATTTGAAGTAACCTCTTAATTTTAGTTTTCTTTTGGTGCCCCAATGAGGTCCCAATTTGTATACAAGATTGGGCGTCTTTATAGAGAATCATATATTTTTGTAGGTTCTCTACTTTTGGTGTACTTTTTTTTATAACTAAGGTATCCGAGCCAACTCGTGCACCTCGACTAATTCTATGAAATACATGCTACCTCCAACCAGCAATAGGTACCAGGTAAGTCTATCCACCTCTACTTTCGGTATGCTACTTATATATAGGTGTCGTTGTCAACATTAATTATATATCTACCTTATAAAAAAAATTATGATGCTTTTAATTGATTGAAGTAAAGAAACACGTGTTTGAATTTACACGAAACTAAATATTTTTCACACTCATACTCCGAACTAATACAGAGTAATATAGCAAAAAAGAACTTCACCTTCTGAGATTGAAGTCGACTGGAGTTGATCAGAGACTTTATCAGCATCTTTTCCATTTGCGTCTGCAAAAATAAACAAATAAATAAACTAATAATAAAAAACAAGCAAGCAAGCAAACAAACAAATATATAAATAAATAAATAAATAAATAAAGTAGCACAAAAATTAACGTAAACGCGATTATCATATATTCGCAAAAAGATGCTCATTTTCCTGGGAATACACTGGGTTCGTTGTTGTTGTTATGCTCATTTTCCTATATTTACAAGAATGCTACGGTTAGGGTTTTGTTTTAACCTTTAAGGAGATCCGGATAGAGATCGGGTGCATTTTGGATCAACCAGGGTTTGCATTTCTCAAATTCGGATCCGAATTCACAGTACTCAGCGGGTAACCCGCAAACTCCACAATAGAGAACCTCTACTGGTTGGGGCTTCTCCGCCATTACAGAACTAACTCAAATTTCTGTGAGGAAAATTTTGAAACTTGAAGACGATTGAGTAGCAAACGGTGTCGTTTTCGAGTAATGTAATCAGAAAAGTATAGGAAATTAAGCTTTTAGCAAATTTATTAAACAAAAAGGCACAAATAATAACCGTCCGCAAAAGGAATAAGAGAATATTTGTACTAGTATTATTGATGAGAACAAACTTTTAGCATCTCAAAAAGAGTGAACTCAATTTGGAAAATCCAAGGGAAAGTTATGGGAATTAATCTCTAAGTGGGCGTTTGGACATAAGAATTGTAAAATTTCAAAAAACGGTGGAAAAAAATTTCAAGTGAAAATGGTATTTGAAATTTAGAGTTGTGTTTGGACATAAATATAATTTTTGGGGTATTTTTGAAGTTTTGTGAGTGATTTGAGTGAAAATTTTAAAAAATAACTTTTTGGAGTTTTTCAAATTTTCGAAAATTTCCAAAATGCATCTTTAAGTGAAAGTTGAAAATTTTATGAACAAACACTTATTTCGGAACAAAGTGAAAATTTTTTGAAAAAAAATAAAAAATTTCTTATGTCCAAACGGGCTCTAAGTCTCTCTTGTGAAAAGCCACCATCCAAACAACTCAACCAATTTTAGAGGACGTGAATTCGAATTTAAGTAGTAGGATACTACTAACAAATATGTTATTACTGGGGTGTGCTTGGTACGGAAGAAAATATCTTCCAGAAAACTCCATAATGTTTCCAACATAAAAATAGGAACAAGGGCGGCTCTAGGGTAAGGCAAGTGAAGCCTTTGCCTTAGGCCCCCCTAATAATTAAGGCCCCAAAAATAAGAAGCACTCCTATATTATTATATAATATATATTTCATAATTTATATTAATATAATTATTAATAAAAGATTTTAAATTTTAATAATTTTAACATTTGGTAGACTAAAATTGAGTGATTTAATTGGATAAATTGTTCTCACTAAATTAAACTAGTATTAGTACTCGTGCGATGCGCGGACACAAATCATGTCGGGTTGTGATTTGGATTATTTGAATTATGTATAAATAACTCTAAAATATAAACCTTCCAGATAAAATTTATTGATAATCATTACATATTAATTAAGAAGCAAGACATGAAACCATTTCGCAATTCTCATAGTGGATAACCTGTTTTCTTTTTTTATATTTATATAATTCAATAGGTTAATTTTAGTACTTGAATTTCGTTTCGTTATCAAATCTAATTTCTCTTAATCCTTATTAGATTTGTCTAAATCTATTTAGATTATGTCCGAAAAGTACCAAGTGACATTTTCTCAATACGCCACTTGGCTTAATGTCATGCTCTAAATTCAAATTATTTCAATTTATTAATAACATTTTTAAATATTCTATATTTACTATATTTTATTTTTAAAACTAATTTTTTATATTAATATCATTACATTATCTCTAACTTATTATTATTATTTAATATTTAATATTTTTAAAATTTTAATTATTAGACTTGATGTGACCGTATCCACGCTATGACCTTTTTATCATAATAGATATAAAAAACAAAGCTTTCTCAACTCAACTTTAAATAAGGTTTATCCTTATTTTTTCTTTGTGATGAAGTTTTTGATTTTCTCTATTTGTTTTTATTTTATTTTTGTTATTATATTACTAAATACTTAATGGTATTACATTATCATGTGGCTCTTTATTAGCTTGTTTGTATTTAATATCCACCTTTACCATACACATTTTAATATATACATATAATAGTTAAAAATTATTTTAGTAGTAACTTTAACTCTATTGCTCATATTCTAAACTATGATTTTTCTTATCATAATTTAATTTTTTTTTAAATCTCAAATTCAAATAAGTCTTATCTTTCTATTTATTAAATTCGGAAAAAGGTCAAATATGTCTCTGTACCCCTAGTTATACTTTGAGTCCATATATACCCTTGTCGTTATACTATTGGTTCAAATATACCCCTTTTCTGTTAAGTTTGTCCAAAGTGGACATCCAATCCTATGTGACACTTACATTTAATGAGTTGGATGTCACATGGTTTTCCACCTCAGCGCCCCTAATCTATTTTATTCCTCTTCTATTTTCTTTTCCACCGCTAAAGTTTTCTTCCCCTCCACCACTATTGCCACAATTACCGCTACCATGAAAATATTGTATTTCAAATTTTAGTCTTTTACATATGGATAAGGGGCGTTGAGATGGCATGCCATGTGGCATCTACCTCATTAAATATCAGTACCACATAGGATTTGTTATCCACTTTGGACAAACTTAACAGAAGAAGGATATATTTGAACCAATACTATTACGGTAGGGGTATATTTCGACCCAAAGTATAACGAAGGGTATATTTAAACTTTTTCTCATACTACAGGGTTATATTTGGCCCTTTACTGTATTAAATTGGAACGCATTTTCAAATAATTATCTTATGTTTTCAAACTTAAACTAAATGTATTGAATTCAAATATTAATCATAAAAAATATTTTTTTATTTGTTTGAAAACATTATATCTAATTGTTGTAATGTTATTTTCACTATCATTTTATTTCTCTATGTAATGTTTCTAAAACATAAAAATTATAAAATATAAAAAATGGATCATGTGATTAGTGAATAAATTGTAGGAATCCTTAATTTTGAAAATCTTTCAGAATGTACTTACTGTAAATATAAGAGGCAATATTAATTGATATTGACCAAACTAAAGCAATGTTATTAATCTGATTTTTTAAGAACTTAAGTTTAATTGGATGAAAATCCAATTAATAAATGTACATGCAGACAGATTTCATAAAATTTCATCCAATGTACAAGCAAACAGATTCCATAAAATAAGCTCCTTTCTTTTTATGGTCCAAAGTTACCATTTCGAAATTTCAATGAAAAGATTTAGATTATCAATTCAAAATCTTTATATAGATTCTCATTAAAGTTTTCTCAAATTTTTATCCTAAAAGTGTCAAGTGGCATTTTATCAATACACCACTTGATTTAATGTCATGCTTCATTACTCTCCTTTTAATATAATATAGATAATATGTTTACATTCTCATTAATTTTATTTTTCTTTCTTTATGTATAGTTCTTTTTCATGGTTCTTACGATTTTACTTTCTAATTTCAACTCAAATTATCTAAATTAACTATTCCTTTTTGTCACATTTGATTGATCCACACACCAGAAAGTAAGTTCTTTTGTGTCTCATCTTTTTTAACTAAGAAATTCCCGAGGCAAATGTGGCAAGGTTCAAAACATGATGAATAATGGGCTCACTCTTTACCATTTTTGCTTAAGGGAAGAATTCGATACCATATGACGCGCGCACAACTCATACATCATGAGTTAAGCTCTCACCACTATATCAAAGTCATGTAGGTTTTTTTGTGTCTCAATATTATAAGGTTTTTATAAGACGTTTCAGGGTTTTTTAATATATTTTGGTTTAGGCTAATAGTTCTGTTTGAGTCGCCCCTCATTGACAATCAACAATTATTTACAGACTACTGCCCCACCATAAACGTATTGTTCAATCAGCATCATTCACATTTAGTAAGTGAATGACACACTCACTGCCTTTAATGCTCTTGTCATTGTTGTCTTATCTTAAGTGAGACTCTATAAATTTGATTGAGAATGTCAGGGGTGGATAATGGCTCTAGTAGGAGACTAGTAAAGCCTTGATTTAGGTCCCCAAAAATTTTTGATAATGAATTTTATAATTTTATTTCAAATTAGACAATATTAATGTTTGTAGAAAAAATAAAAAAGTACAAAAAAAAAAGTTAAAAAATAGAAAGAAAGGTGTCTACTATTAAACAGTAAAAATATTTTTAAAATTTTGAATTAAACTACTTAAATCTTCATATTAGTAAATATATTTTTTATAACAATATCAAAGGTAACATATTGTAAATACATGTCTAACATCTCATTTATTTAAGTTTTTCTTTTCTAATATAAATAATAATATTACTATGTGAAATTAAAGACTTTATGTCATTTAAGAATATATATTATAAATAACAAGTATGAAAAAAATGGAAAGATTAATTTTTTTGCATGTATGAGTGTATACGTACTAATAAAAAAAGTATAAGACCTCTTATTAAAATTTGGCTTTAGGCTACTAATTTTATGGAGTTGCCCTTGGAATAGACCGATATAGACTCACAAGCTCATATGTCAACATGGTGCATTGTAACTCTTCCACGTTAAGATATATATATGTTCATTTTGCTATAGTTTTGCAAAATTAACGAGGGTCAGAATACCACTTCTAACTTTAGTTTACCATCTATCTTACATGAGGTGCACAAAATTAAACTGATATTGGCCAACGCAAACAGTAGATATGAACATTGTTTTTCAAAATCATAGTAAACCAAATTTTCTAAGCTATTGAAATTATTTTAAAATTCTAATTTAAAATAATCTTAAGCTCAATATGATTGTGAGAGACGATATTAAGCTTTTAAAAGTGTGAGTGACAACTACCATTTAAAAAAATAACAAACATTCACCCTCTAATCTTATCATTATCTTTGCATCGAATGTGATTGAACGACATGGGTGGCTATAATGCTAGTAAAGCAATCGCTTGGGCCTCAACTTTTTGGCCACCTCGTTTTTTCTTTAAATGTGTATTGTATATGTATTATTAAAAAAATGTGTGTACATTTGAATTTAACAATAATTTTTGGAGCGAAGGTACAATAACTTTAATGTGAGTATCGTTGTAATAATTAGAGAATGGAATAACTTTTAATGAATTGTTTCCTTACATGGACATGGTAGCTATTTTGTTTGCCACACTATATCAATAACTAATATGAGCCCACATTATTATTTATATATTTACTTTTCAATTCTCTCTTTTACTATTCTTATTCTCAATATTAAAAAGTCTCTCAATCGGCAACTTACCGCGGTTTACAAGTTGTCTTTTTCAAAACATTACAACAAGCTATCACTATATCAACTTATCTTGCTGTCACGACCTTAAACCCGGACCCGATCGTGATGGCGCATCTCGTGAAGACAAGGCCAGCCGACACATTCCCAATTCCCTTTAAGCAATTAAGATAATACAATTAAGTCTTAAACATGATAAAA